AAAACAAAAACAAAAACAAAAAAAAAAAAAAAACAAAAAAAAAAAAAAAAAAAAAAAAAAAAACAAAAAAACTAAAGAAAAAGGGAAAATAAAAAAAAAAAAAAAAAGGAATATGTCAAGTATATGTTTATAGATCTTGATCCCGCTTCAAAAAGAACTGTATCATACAATCGATAAGATTTTAGCTTTTGTGTTTGTTAGTATTGTCCAACGTCAACAAAGGCCACCTTACTGAATAGGCCAAAAAAGAAAGACAAGAAGTAGAATGTTAATTTGCTAAGGTAAGTTGGACAACGGCAAACAAAATTAAGAAAGAAAAAATTGGGTTTCAAGACTATATCTCTAGGATGGTTCTATAAGTGGACACGACTGTGTAGTCCATCATCTGACAGTACAATTGACAAGATTTTAATTTTTCTTCTTTGTTAACGTGGTGTTTGGAGTATCACTGCTTTGTAGTAGCCTAATAAATAAACCAACAAGTTTGATAAGATAAATTGAACAATACAATACTGGAGTTGAGAAACAAAAACAAGTATGTTCATATACTGTTCTTTCATGTGTCAAGCATGCCATAAAAGTACTAAAACGGGGTCAAGCCAAATTCTCTAGCATGGTTAAGTAAGAAAGGAAATGAAGATACCTGTGAATTAACAGATGAACAATGAGAAAGTGATTCTTCATCATCATCCATGAGAAGGAGGGAGATTTGGTGGCTTAAATCTGCAAAAAAGACATCATCTTCTACTTCAAGAACTGCTGCCATAGGTTTGATGAAAGTCCTCAAACAACTTAAGCCCAATTTGGCCTTTTCTTTTTCTAGCTAGTGAGATACCCAAATGCTTTAAATAGGCAAAAAAGGCAAACAATAATGTGGTCTATGGGCGGGGCATATGGGTTGGTGGGGTCATAAAATTAAGACAATCTGTCACAAGGGATCATGAAGTGTGTTTAATGATGTGATATTATCCAGTTGTGGGAAAGGGATATCTGATCCAAGATAGACTTCATCTTTAGGCATATACTTCTGGCTGTAAATGGAAGAGCATTGTCCTCTCATCCACTAGTTATGATTCACACTTTTGGGACAATATTTTGTGACCTAAACTGGTTTATTCGTAATCTAGCAGTTGGGTTGTCGGTGTTTCAGAGCAAATACGGATCTTGAGTTTAATTCGTGCAGTCCCCAACATATTCGGGTTTTGGATGGAAAAAATTAAAATGAATATGCATCACCTTGCACAGTTGCACTTGAAGGAAAGTTTTGAAGAGTGAATTTTAGATGAATAAATGTATTCTAAGCTGACTAATTGTAATCCTACAATTGGATGATATCAAATGTATCATAGTGAATAAATGTTCATAATCAAATTCTCACTATTATCCATTGTGAAAGATATGTATTTTCAATAAATTAAGTGACATGCATGTGACAAATGTATTTAAGAGTGAATTGATGAATGCGTTTTTACTCACGATTTATACACAATTTTAACTTGATTATTTGTTAGATTTTATGAGTATATAACGTTTTTAATGTGTTTACTGGTGTTGTTTTAAAGGTTAAGAGAGGTAATATAAAATTGGTGTTAATGTGAACAAACAAGTCAAGAACAAGTTTTGGGACAGCAAGTCAACGCCCAGGTGATGAAAACCAAGCCTCCAACAGCGAGAGAAGCAAATTTAGAGAGCGAGGCAATGCATAGGCACTGCACTCATAGCGCCCAAGCGCTGCATTGTGTTTTATCAGGGCGCTTAGGTGCTGCTTCTTAACGTTTAAGGGCAACGCTTAATATCCACTCTATATTTGAATTCTAAATCAATATTTGTATGCATCCACTATTTTCAAGTACTTAGATCAAAATCACAACAAATCGCAATTCTTTCTTTCTTTAATCAAATAGGAATTAGAAATATTACATTAGATATTAAAGTATAGTCCTCGTGAGTACGATAATATGGATTCAAAGGTCCATTTTATTACTTATTACGATCCGTACACTTACGAGATATAAAAATCGACAATATGAATTCAAATAAATTAATGTGTCTCACATATAAGATATGGTTCTGGATGTCATCCACTAGTCATGGCCCAGCCTGCCTTGGCCTTAATTCAACAAAACCTTTACCTCTTTCCCTAAACGAAAAACTAAGGAACACTATTAACATTTTTGTTGCAACTTTGAAGGATACTCCCAAGTATGAATGGATAAGTATGTAGAAAATTCAGCTTGCTCTTTCATGATTATGGACCATCAACCTTTAGCCAGGTTTAATAATTCAAAACTCAACCAAGTATTGAATATGAAATCGAAGCTTAAATTCCAAAACTCCTATAAACGAAAGAGCACGAGTCGTTGAAAACAAGAGTTTTTACTTCCTTTTTGTTAGATGTGAACTTTCAAAACCTCTTGATCAAAATATCGACTTCTACATCTGAAATATAATAAAAAGGACAATCATTTTCACATTATAATTTTTATCTGTTGCATCATTTTTTTTAAAATATTTTTTTGGCACTTGAAGTTCTTTATTTTTGTTTATTATAGCACTTATATCCTCAACTTTTATGTCGCATCCTTATCGTCAAATTTTCATCAATTAGTAATTAAACCATACAGCCTATGTGAATTGGGTTCAGAACATCCTGAGACAGTTTGATCTATATTCGATGCGAGCGTTAGAACATTGAGAGAACCTTTTCCAAGTACAAAAGGACGGAGAAATACGCACATCTAGTGTACAATTATCTTGTCCATGCTACGAAGCGAATAACTGCCGAAAGCATTTGAGTAGTAAGATCAATCCAAAATGAATGCTCTCCTATTTCGACATCCCAAGAGCTTTCGATAGCGATGGGTTTTGTCTTGTCCATCATATTTTTAAAATGAAAATGCTCTTATAACTGGGAGGCTAAGGCCATCTCCAACCACCGGAGGTCCTAGAAGAAATCCTAGAGAATTTGATGTAGTACGAAGTGTAGTGAGTTTGATGATTTGCCAGAAAGTTTAAAATTTCACAATATGATTAAATTCTCACACTTAAAATCATATGAGAAACAAGAGAGGAAAACAATAGAAAATAAGAGAGAAAATATAGAGGTGGCTGAAAATCATGAAAAAAAGATTGGAACCACAAGAGAGTGAAAAAGAAAATAGAGGTGGCTAAAGATAAAGAGAAAAGAGTGGAGCCACAAGAAAAAAAAAAAAAAACAAAAAAAGAAAAAGATTTCATAGAGAACCAAAAAGGGGGGGGGGGGCCAAAAAAAAAAAAAAAAAAAAAACATGGGCCCTCCTCCCATTTGTGGGGTTCGGTCAGGGGGCGGTCAGCCCCTGGCTTCTGTAGCACGCCCCTTTTTAAAAATTAAAAAATATAAAAGTATGACAAAATATTTTTCTCGAAGTTCAGGTCCCACTGGCGGGGACAAAAAGGTACATTAAAAGACCACGACTTCTTAAAACGTGGTGTTCCCAACACGCCTTCGAGCAATTAAGGTCTCCATCTATCATCTCTTCCCACCGCTAGAAAAAAAGAAAAAATGAAAAAATTTAATCTTTTGGCGATTCCATTTTCACAGTTGATCTTCTTCTTCGTTCAGCCAAATCCAAATTCTGTAAGTACCATTCTAATTGTAATGCAATTTTCTTCATAAAGAACCTTTTAACGCAAATTTTCATAAATTTATCATCTATATTAATTTACATATTACATTGAGGATGCTCATATTATCACTATAGCAGTAAGGTTATATGGCAGCAAAATTGGTTATATAAATATCGAAATTGAATCTTACTCGAAATTTGTTGGACAGTTTTGAGAGAATTTTATGGTGGGTTATTCTGCTGCTGTAATCAGGAGGCAGCAATTCTTGATAAGGTGTTTGGGAGGAAATAATAGTGTAAACAAGAATCTTCACAACAGTTCTCTCAGAATGATACCTCTTGGGAGTGGTGCTGGTGGTCTCACTTTGGAGAGTGATGTTATCAACATTTTGAGATCAATTACTCCTTCTTTAGGCCCTGCTAGGCATAAAGGCCAAGCTGGTGATGATGCTAATCATACATCCTGTTCAGTTTTATTTATTTATTTTTTTGTTGTTTTGTTAGTATAATTTTCGATTAACATGCAATTTTTGGGATGATACAATGACTTAAATTTTATTTTTTTTAATTTTTTTTTGAAAGGTGGAAATTTGATTTTTACTACGCCTATTTAGTGACATCTATCTCCTATTCGATAGGTTTGTGATAATATCTTTTAGGATTTGATTTCAGTGTTGTTGATTAGTTTTTTTCTTTGTTAAGAGGATAGAGAAATATGATATTCATTTATGATTCTATGGAAGGCAAACGTATTATTGAGATTTTTTGTGAACATAAATGAAAACTAAAAGATTGAGTGCTTTCTTCCACCATCATTTCGGCTAGCTTGGCTGGGGAATTTAGGAACTTTGCCTTTGAAGTCATGCTATGTTGTCAGGTCATCCGTTTCACAAATTGGTTTGCTTTCAATAATTTACTCGGTCTTGCACGTGTCTTAGATTATTAGATAAATTTTACAGTGCAAGTATAGATATCTGCAGAATTTACATTATTTTATTTTGAATTTGTTCTTCCACAGAGTTAATTAACCACTAGCTTAGGTACTAACAATTTTCTTAAAGTCTTTTAAAACTTTAATTAGATTGTTATCAATCTTCTGGATTTCCTCCATTGATTCACTAAGGATAATCATTTTGGATCAGTGATTGATTTCTAGGTTTCGTCGTAAACTTAATTGGTTATGTCCGATTTGACAATATTTTCATCGCTTTATGCTTCACTTGTTTGAGTCAGAATTCTGCTACTGGTTAATTTCGATTAACATTTGCAGCATGTTCATTGCTGGTCATAGGTTATCTTTGACTCACTATTGATTAGTGATTTATACTCGACCTTGGATTGACGCTTCAACAATTTGGTTTGGTGGAATCTATTACATGTCACTTTACACTGCATGCAATTTGATTTGAGCTCTTATCTCATTTATTTATTTAATTCTGATCCACAACCAGGGAAGATAGCTGTTGTGGGTGGATGCCGTGAATACACAGGAGCTCCATACTTTTCTGCTATTTCAGCTTTAAAAATTGTCAGTTATCCTCACCTTAACCTCTGTCTCCACATTAAAAATAATCATTCTCTTATTTCATCAGTCAAGGGGAATGAAGAAGTTCTATTTTGTGTCAAAGACTTCCATTTGGGTATTTTGAGTGAATAATTATCTATTTTCTTAGGGTGCCGATTTATCGCATGTATTCTGTACAAAAGATGCTGCTCCAGTTATTAAAGGTTATAGCCCAGAGTTGATCGTGCACCCTATACTGGAAGAATCTGATAGTGTTAGGTAATATCTTTACTTAATGAACTTGATCATTGTTTAATAAGTTCTTACTAAATTTATCTTTCTAGTGTTATTATACTTAATTTTTCTTTGGAGTGCTTATAGTTCTGAAATGATGTATCTAGGGATGAGTTTAAAAGATCAACATTAGCCAAGGTGATCGCTGAGATTGATAAGTGGATGGAGAGATTTGATTGTTTAGTTGTCGGTCCAGGTCTGGGGAGAGACCCGTTTCTCCTGGTGCGCTATTATTAGAGCATAATATTTTTTTGCGTATATTTTTTGTATAGATAATTAGATCCTGACTATCTGTTTTGCCAAAATTCCTAGTCAACAAGAAAGATAACAAATATGTGTTGAGTCTGAAAATAATCTCTAAATTGTATTATGACCTACCATCAAGTTACTTTTCCATAAGTATTATTCTGTTTTTAGTTATATTGGATGAGTTGCATTGTGTATAAACTAGCGTTTTTGTTGATAAACCATCATAAAAGCAAATCTTTACTTCAGTTAGCTAATTTAACAGTCTCTGAATGAACATCCCAAGAGCCTTATATCTGCAAGTCATACTTCTAAGTATTGGTTCAATCATAAGGTTTAGAGAATGTTTTATGCAAATTAACTTCCATGTACAAGTGCGTTTTCTTGCTTTGGAAAGAAAGTCATTCAAGAAGAACTCCTAAGTCAGCTAGGCTAAGGCCGGTAAAGAGCTTCTTTCGCTCCTATTAACAGATATTGTGACTAAACCTTTTCTATATCCTCTTCATATGTTGACTGACTTTTTAGCATATAAGTCATGCTGTTCATCTCTTGCTACTGAGCATTCTTGATTTGTTTGATTTGGAAACACCATAACGACCTTCCTTGTAAGTTTTAATTGTTCTGGAAAATTTTTGGTTTCCAAATTATCGAATGAAATATGTTTATTCTTAAAATAATTCCCTTTCTCCTCCCTTTGAACCAGTTTCGTACATGTTTTCCCTTGTCTTATCAAATAAAATCTTTTGACAGTTTTAATTGTTCTGCAAAATGTATGATTTCCAAATTATCTAATGTAATTTGTTTATTTGTAAAATAATTCCCATTCTCCTCCTTTTGAACCAGTTTTGTCCATGTTTGCTCCTTGTCATAACAAATAAAATCTTCCTTATTTATCACTAAAGATCTTGACAAAACATGCATTACATCTTCAGGACTGTGTCAGTGAGATCATGAAGCATGCCAGGGAATCCAAGGTCCCGATTGTCGTAGATGGGGTGCGTATTAGAAATGACTTTAGTTTCCTTTGTAAGTATTGCTTGTGATATCGTCTGCCAAAATAATGTAGTTTTGAAATGTATTCTGTTGGTTTCTCAGGATGGGCTTTTTCTTGTTACAAATTGCCTTGACTTGGTCAGAGATTATCACTTGGCTGTCCTGACTCCTAACATTAATGAGTATAAGCGACTTGTTCAGAAAGTTTTAAATTGTGAAGTAAATGATCAAGAAGGAACTCAGCAATTACTCTCTCTTGCGAAAGGGTAAAATTCTGTGTTCATTTTTCTAGCTTTCCTTAATTCTGAGGTTGCTTCATCTGCAAATGTAATTTTGTTGGGAATTTATTCTTTATCATGTTACTGAGACAATATGTTGCTGTCTCATTATCCTCAACAGCATAGTTACTATGTGCTACAGTTCCCTAACAAAATGATATCCTTTCTTGATCAGGTTAGGGGGTGTAACCATTTTAAGGAAGGGAGAATCTGATTATATCAGCAATGGTGAAGAAGGTACCTTTTACTATTGTTTGTACCCTGTAAAATAAATATTGTGCGAGCAAGTCTGATAAATGACATGGTGTAGAAGGAATAATCTGAAAGAAGGATATATGCAGCAAGTCTGAATAGGCTGATGTTGAGATTTTTCAGGAGTCGGTCAAGGAAACATTAAAATTGCAGTGAAGACAAATATTAGAATTATGACTAAGGTAAAACATAATACTGTAAAAAGGTCGATTGTCAGGCAGATTTATTCAAAGTTTCTAGCACATGGGATATTGTGTGATGCTGTGGTAGCTTAACAGAAACATAGTTGGATTGAGGAATGAAGAAAGTGCATTGATCGTTCAACAAGTAAGTATCAGCCAGTTGGCCAATATAGGACCAATGAACTGGAAGATCGCCTGTAGCAGCCTATAGAATGGCTGATGGTTGGCGGTAAGTTGATGGTCATCAGTCACCTCCAATGATATAGGAGCCTGTTTCAACATTAGGGTAAAATAAAGAAATTGGAAATATAAAAATGTTTGCACGAGCCCTCATCTTCTATAGCCTTAGTTTGGAATTTTGAGGATGCCAGGCAATATAGGGGTAGATGGATAGTTGTCAGATATGGTTCTGATATTATATAGCAGTCTTATAAAGTGCTGCCTGTATGGATCCAAAAATTTGTATGATATAGCATAGGTGAATGTAATCCAAGAGAAAATTTATTTATCTCTTCAACTGATGCCTAACCATTCTACGATAAATTTTGACTAAACATATAGGTCTTGCCTCCATTTCGGATATTGTCACATGTATATTTATTGTGAAGGTCATCCTTGAAAGAATTCTAATTTCTTCTCTGGTTTATATAGTTAGTGCAGTCAACATTTTTGGCTCCCCTCGGCGCTGTGGTGGCCAGGGTGATATACTCTCTGGAAGGCAAGTATATCTCAGCTTCACTGGCACATACTGGTATATCATATACGGTGCAAAAAACTTCCAAGGGGCTTTTCATTTTCATTGCTGCAAATATTTTTTTCCCCTTCAGAATTTTTTCCCCCCTACAAACTAATGACTTGCTAGGTTATAGTCTCCGCTTGAAATTTCTTGCTTTTTGAGTTTTTTATGTGCTTAATATTTATGGTACTTATCCGGTCTTGATGGCTTTTTTCGCATCTTTCTGCCCTCTCCTTGTGTTTTTGGTGGGAATGAAGAAGCTTAGAAAATTTTTCGAAATAATGTTGATTGGCAAGTTCGTCCAAATCAGCTACATTCGTTTTACATAGAGGAAGGAATGAACATTAGGATTTTTTTTTTTCCCCTTGATTCTTTTCTCAAAAATCAGAATATGATTCTTTGCACAACTTCCTCTAAGTATTTCCTACACATATGATCGAATTTTACTCTCAGCAAATAATATTGTACATCATAGTATTAAAATCGTCTTTGCCTTTACGACCAGTGTTGCTGTATTTCTTTCCTGGGCTCGTCAGTGTGCTGCTGAAGGAGGGTGGAGCCCGAGTCCTACAATTTTGGGGTGCATTTCTGGATCAGCTATACTGAGAAAAGCTGCGTCGCTTGCATTTGTGAACAAGAGAAGATCTACCCTTACTAGCGATATAATTGAATGCTTGGGACAAAGGTGAGTTTATCTCATTTAAGTTTAGTAATTTTGTATAAATTGATATGCTAAGATCCTTTTTTTTTTTGGGCCTGCAGTTTGGAGGAACTGTGTCCAGTTAGTTAATGAAGAGTACTGTGCCCTTGTGTACAATAAAAACAGAATTTTATGTGTTGACGTGCAAATGAAGAGCGACTCTAGCGTACGATAAAATTGTATTTCTGAGTTATGAAATCAACTTGATTATGATTGTCACAAGTTGCCAGTGAAAATCCCCACCTCCTCTCGTTCCCCATCGGCCCCCTCCGAAGCATGATTGATGCAATCATCTCGATATGTGGAATCATCGTGCTGTGGAGCACTTTCTCACTAATTTAGTGAGAAGTGTGAAATTATTCTCTACAAGACTGAAAAAATGAGTCGTGGCGACCATCAAATCACCCATCGAGGCACCTATAGAGTGTCTAACACGTTCTTTTCTCTCGGTGTCCACTCTTTCCAACTCAAAATTAGCCCCAGAATTGTAATGCATCAATGGTGAATTCTTGGCCTCTCGTGTTTGTTTTTCTCTATGTTCGCTCTTTTCATCTAGAAGTAGCCCTCGACTTTCTTTTATGGTCCCATGTTGCACGTCCGGGCATTAGATTTTGAGTTATGATAAGATAGAAATGAATGGTGAATAAGTGTGTAGTACTCGAGTTGCCTTGCCTAATTTCAAGGATCCAAATAGCCACTCAAGACAGAAATCCTTATCAATCATGTGCCAATTAAAACATCAAAGATCACACAAAAGCATCTATAAGATTTCTACGATTTTGAAAGGGGATTGCTCAATTCTCTGCCTCTGCAAAGCTACGGAGTGTCCAATGTTACAACATAGCACGACGTTAATATACTCACAGAGTATTAAATAAAAGGAGAGATTGCACGACCTAAAATGCGATAATAGGCAAGAGAGAAGAAAGATCCAGAAAGATAACTAAATAAAGTTCAAATAGTGATTTATATATATCAGTGCCACGCTTATTGATAGGTTATAACGAAGTAAAGTTTAGAAGTGCCAAAGTCATATCATACAAGACTTGCTAACTGCAGTTCAAGCCCATAAACCTTTAGTGTGAAATCTCGCGGCTTTTCACAGTGCAATCCCATTTCCAAGTACTCCCCTTGCATTTCTAAATCCGAAGAGCCCTTTCCAGCAATTACTTCTGCAAATGCAATTGCAACAAAAGGTCAGTCCGTACCACCAAAAACAGTAAGACCTAGAGGAACATTTCGATATATTAACTCTTTCAAACTTTCTTTAAATCACAATCAAATCAGACGAATATTGCAAGAAATAGTGTCCAGGCTCTAAATTAATCAAAGACAAGTTATGGAACTTGGAGGCTAGAAACTGAACCAAATAATGAATCTGAAAGATCATCAATGACATTCTACAAAAGAAACCAATGGAAGAAGGGCATATCTCTCTTTTTTAGTTTGCTTATTATCTTTTTCAGTTAAGGGGGTGGTGGTGTAAATAATTAATGAGGTGAAAACAATAGAGTAAAACTATAAATAAAACTACTAGTGATAAGCAACCAAGAGTTATTTATACATACTATCCTACAATAATGGAAATTAAGGAACAAGAAGAAAATTTCTCGTGCCTAAGCAACTAAAATGATGGAAACATGACCTGAAATAGAAGTGTAGCACTAAACTAGAACAATAAACAAGGATTAAGCAATCACAACTAATGAACTTCTCATCCTAACAGAAGAGCTTCCTACTAGACAGGAAAAGAATCCACTGAATCAAATTATCGAGCACACACCACAAGAAAAAGCACCGACTTTAATGATCTTATGTGGTAAGAATATGATTTATTACATATATACCAACCCATGTTAGTGTACCTGCTTAAGAATCTGGAGGTGGTGGTGGTGGTTGTGGCCACATCTGCTGACCCATATAAGAATGAGGCTGTTGAGCATATAGAGCAGGATCCACGGGCTTCCCCACAAACATCCCTGGAGCTGAAAGTGGAGGAGCAGGAGGTTGTGGTGGCATGTAATAGTAAGGAAGTCCTTCAGCAGGACCCCCAACAGGAAGGCTCTCTCTGGGGATTGAAGCAAGCACCTCATCTTTTAGATCCTCTCTTGGTACAATATCAACCAAGAAATCAAATATGTCCGTCCTTGTAATGGCTGCTGCAATGTCATTTTTCTGGAGTGTCCTCCTTTTGTTCTCCTCTGTATGGTTCCATGCACGCAACGTCAGCTCAAGAATGAACATTTCACAGGCTCGGGCAAATATAACAGGTGCTTCAGCTGATATCATTCTAACATCTTCATCTGCCTTCATTATCTTCTTGATCCTAGCCAATGGCAGGCTATGATTCTTAAAATCTGTTACCTGGTCAATTTCTTCATATTGGTTTGCCCAAAAACTCTGGAGTTGCTGTTGCAATTGCTGTTGCTGCTGCTGATGGATGTGCTGATAAGCAAGTTGGTGTTGAGCCATCTGAGCTGGAGAGGTCAAGAGTCCAGCTGTCTGGGAAGATTGAGTTGAACCAGCTGATGCAGGGCCAGAGGGTACTGTCATTTGGTTACCTTGGTATGATGTCACACTTTGTGGATTCTGAGCAGAGCTACCCACCACTCCCATACCTTGGGGCTGTCCATTTACTTGCTGATCCATTTGAATTCACTAGCTTACTGCATAGACTTTCGACTTTCTGAGTGACAGTCACCCCATGATAGCAGATGTCAGAAATAAAACATTAACTAAATTTGTTATGAATAAGCATTTAAATATAAAACTAAGTATACAGTAGCGAAACATTTGAACCAGGATGAGTATCTTGAAAATCTATATTTGGAAAACAAGTAGAACTACATGAACCTACCACCACATATTCATAAAACAATAATTCATAATGGGACCAACTCCAAACTCTAGGCACCCTCGAACAGATTTACAAGCTTTTCACAACATAGAACATTTCCAATTGCCATGCAGCAAAGTTCCTCAATTTCAAATATCAATAATGAACGGTTGCCTATTTTTGTATGCAAAAGGTCCATATTCCAGGCAATTGCAACTATTAGAATATAATTACATAGGATCATAATAAACCTTTATGGAACCAATTATCAAGTTATCTCTACCTTATAAGTTTTCCAAATCCTCAAAGGGTAACATGTAGTAGCTACCTTAAAAACGGTAGCAACAAGGAAATGCTGAAACCCAAAAAATGTGACCCAGCACACCCACCACTACAGCACAAAACTGTCATATATCACGTTTCAACAAGGCTAGAGTTTGACATGTTTCCTAGATAATTATGGAGCTGCTGGCAGTTACTAGGAAAGACAAATTGCTAAAACAGTGTATTTAACCGCTTGTCTTGATTATTAGACATAATAAGAACCCAAATCACCCACAAACATGGGTAAGTTGGATCGTGTTAATAAGAAATTCCCATAACTCCTGAGTCCAGAAATAAGGTATCATGAAGTAACATGGTTGTACAATCTCGTGAATGTATCATGTAAACCACACAAAAATCAAATAATGCACCCGAGGCTTAGAAAGTACAATAAGTACAAAAATATGAGCACAATCTCACAATTACAATTACAACATTCATTATATTCGATGCATTGTTCAGACATGAACAAAGATACGAACAAAGAAGCGAAAGATACAGAAATGGAATTTGACTAAGATCATATCAATTAGACAGAGATGCCTCTTAAGCGTTATAATTTGAACTTAACAACCATCGTACTTTATTATCGCACGAACAGGTGAGGAATAAATACAAAAATTACAACAGCAAGCAAGTACTTGCAAAAGCTTGTTTTCTTCTGGGAAAGAATTGCATATCAATATAATGGAAATTGTAGACCATTGATTACTTCAAAGTATAAGAAAATCACAAACACTGATATACTGGCATAATGCACATAGATGTGAATTAAAATAAGTTTAAAAAGGAATGATAATAAAAAAGGAAGAAAACAAGAAGAACAGCTCGACATTACAAATCTGCTGTCAAAAGTTGCATATTTATGCATGTCTGAAAAAGCAAAAAATGGCATCATAGCTGTGCTGTAAAACTCACCACAAAGGTACAAAAGTTTGAAATTGAATCCTTCAAATTTGTAATTTTGATTCAAAAATTTCCCAAGGAACACTTTGAAACTGGATTTATTGTAAAAGAGGGAGCTAACAGGCTGCCCCCTTCAGTGCTCAACTTTTCTGAAAAAACAACTTACGAGTCATCTCATGATGCATCAGTGTAATTCATGCATCCCCTATTGCATCTATTTTTCAATCCCTATAGTTAAATACCAGCTAATTTAACTCAGGATGAGTTGGTTCTTAGAAGCATTAAATGCTACCAAAAATTCCTATGTATATTTAACACAGTTAAGAACTTAACTTTCATTTTAGATTATGTAAACTTCTTGAAATCAGCAAGTAAGCATGAGCTTGTTAATTAAAAGCCGAATACATTATTTTAAGTTTACAGTGTAATAACTATAGAAAAACAGAGATTGGTAAAATTTAAGAGAGTGTAAAAAAATCAACTTTGACGAGGATAACAGCAACTGTAAAAAGAAAAAGTAAATCAAAGCATCCATAAAGGAAAAAAATCAATATCTGTGAACAAATAATGACAAAGATTGACTCCATCTGAACTTGGAGGAACAAACAAGAAAATAGATGAACTCAATCCCAAGGATTCAAGGAAAACTCTATCCCAATAACAAAACATACAAGAAAAGTGGTATTCCTTTAAAAAAAAACAACACTAAACCACGAATTTCAATACAAAGAAACTTAAAATTGCCTAACAATCATATTAAATATTCACTAAACAAAGTCAGAACAATAAATAGAGATGCATTTCATCCGCCATATACACAAGATCAACACATAATCGCACGTGTACCACAAAATAATATGCTTTAAACTCTATCAAATTTTGTTTTGATATGGTTCGTTCATTTCAAACTCAATGTTGCAACTTCATTATCAGTCAAAAAATAAATAAATAAATAAATAAATAAAAATAAAATATTTTTAAGTAATTTTCCATACTATATAATTCAACAAAATAATTATCTTCGGATAAAGTTTAGTTCTAAAAGTAAAATTAGAAGAACATGACTCCTAGAGAAGTACTGCTACAAGAACTTTCTTGTTTCAAAACAATAATTAAATCGTTTTAAATATCACTTTAAGCAATCATCAGTTCCAATTTTAGATTACACCAGTAAATATAAAACCATAAAAGAAAACATTTTTATATTTTTTGTTAAGATAACAAAACCTTCAGATTTTCTCATATTGCCCAAAACCAATCTCTCTCCATTGAAAATTCAACCTCAATTCTCAACTTCCATTCAACGATCGAAACCCTTACGTTTACAAATTACTAGAGCAAATAACAAAATTCAAAAAGCTAAACCAAAAAATCATAATAAATAACCAAAAATACAAACAAATACATATACACACATATGCTGAGTTACATGCGTGTTAATCATACCTGTCTTGTAGTTGGAATTTGCTAAATGAATTGCTGAGTAGGAGACAAAACTGAGCTAGGGTTCTTCGAATGAAAATGCCACTGAATCCAAAACAAAAGCTATTCGTCACCTAATATATATAATTTATTATTTATTTTTATATTTAGTTAGTGTTTGTGTGACGTTGTGTGTACAGGTGTACCACGGAGGAAACGCAAGTTTGGTACGCTAAGTTCCCTGTCCCCGACCAAAAGTTTACCTCTATTTTTAAACTTATTCGAGTAAGCGGAAAATTTTATCCAGACATTTATAGTAAATTTTTGAGTTCGCCATACTAGGTAAATTTGTATTTTTCGTTCTTTTATTTTTTGTTTTCACTATGTTTCTTGTCGACCTTTGTATGCTAAGTCGAAAATGCAAAAATAGAAAGGTTGTTTTTCTATTAGATGTGTGTTGACACATAAAAATTCAGCCCAAATCGAACAGCCCAAGGAGTAAAGTCCAATTGGAGGATCCCCAAATCAGATAGCCCAAAGAACAAAGTCCAATCGAACGAATCAAGGTGAAGGCCCAAATAAGGGGCCCAAGAATGCGGTAACGCCATCGCCCAAGTTTGCAAGTCGCCCAGAATCTGAACGAATAGAGTGTCATACGGTCACCCAGAGCTGTTATTCTATTCTCGCCCAAACCTTCAAATCGCCCAAGGTATCAATAGACATAACGCATCGTGGTTATCAAGAAATGCAGTTATCAAGGCAGTTGTTAAAGTAGCCCTTTCACGTTCCACGACTCAAGGAATTCAATCGAAAGCGGTTGAACGATGAAAGGTAATGGCAGCAGTTAAAAGGCAGTTTCATGACAAAATGACCACTACGAAGAAAGTGGGTAGTTATAGGACGATCAAGCAGTTTTTAGAGTAGTTAATCACAAAGAGATCGTCTATGAGGTATAAAAGGGAGAAAGGACGTAGAAGCAAAGGACCGAATCCAAAACTCTCGAACAGAGAATATATAATTTTCATTTCCTTAACTTTTAGATTTAAACACTTTTCTTTCTGTAACTCGTGTGCTTGCGCCCCTTGGAGGCACGTTGTTTTCCATTTCCAATTGTAAAGTTCATCGCCAATAAAAGAACACCTCTTTTTGGGACTTTGTTTCAAGAGGTTTCGTCCCTTACACAATCGTCTGATCCTTTTTAATTGTTAGCGACTTAACCCGCGCGAAACAATTTGGCACGCCCGGTGGGACAGTGGTGTTAGGTGTTGAAAGTACAAAAGGTGAAACAATATGCCTCAGAGATCTGACAAGGAAGGAGCAAGTCAGGGAGGAATCCAGTCCGTAATCGAGCGATATGAGGAGCAGCATGCCTCTCCACGAACAGATGGACAAAATCAGAGCAATAACAGTCGTTACGAACCAATGACGGAGTTGAGTCCTCGAACCATGCGTGCATTGCTTGGAGAACTCACGCAAGACGTCGTTGAACAGGTAAATCTTCGAAGTATTCATAATATGGAAAGATTTACACAAAATGGAAATGCACACTATGACAATATGGCCAAACAGCTAAAGACGTTAAACGAAATAATGAATAAGTTAGTAGGTCAAATATGTCAACCGGCTATAACTCTTACAAACCACTTTCAAACCAGGACAATTGTGGGACATAATCTCTCTGTCCTAAATCCGAATCAAGGGGTAGAACCGCTCTCTGGTCCCTCTACTTCAAACCAAGGGGGTACTACAGTGCCAAATCAAAACAATGGTAGTGGCATGCCTAACTTGGGGGGTAGTCCAAACGTGAGAGATAATGTCCTAAACAATGGACAGAATATTCCACGTGGTAATGAGGGAACAGACGTCCATGCTAATGGTAATGGCTCTAATTATGGTAATTTTGTTGCCAATCAAGGACCAAACATCAGACCTCATGCAAATCAACCGGTTAATCAGCCTGTAGGAATTCCATATGATCCCAATGTCCTGTTGAGGAACCAGATTATGGAAATTGTGCAGGATCAGATGGCTTTTGGGGTGCGTCCTGTCATTAGGCCGACGTACACAAAGTCATATCCTGATTGGGTGGACCAAGCATATCCATGGCCTAGAGGGTACAAAGTGCCAGAATTCTCACTATTTACCGGTTTAGGAGAGGTGTCTACTTTAGAACACATAGGGTGATTCACGTTGCAAAGTGGTGATGTAACCGATTACCATAAAATGAGACTTTTTCCTAGTTCGTTAACAGGAGTAGCTTTCTCCTGGTTCATCAACTTGCCAGCGAACTCTGTTTAAACATGGCAACAACTGGAACAGTTGTTTCACGCTCAGTTTTATAAAACTGAGTCTGAAATCACTTTGGCTGATTTGGCGAATCTACGTCAAATGCCAAATGAATGGGCAGAAAGTTTTCTCCAAAGGTTCAAAACAGCAAGAAGCAAGTGTTTTGTACCTCTGCCCGAAAAAGAATTTGTCAAGATCGCACAAGGCTGCTTGAGCTTTGATTTAAAAAAGAAGTTCCAGGACAAGGAATTTCCTGACTTTTTCCAGTTGAGTGCGAATGTGATTAGGTATGAGCGACTGATAAGAGAAGAAGAACAAATAAAAATTCCAGTAAAGAGACTTATTACACAGACCCAAATTTTGACGTTCATACCATCGACGACGAATCATACGATCAGGCCGAAATGTGTTTGGCCGAATTGGTAAAAGGGGATACATATACCTGTCCCATAATGGCCAAGCCTAGACCATCGGGCAAAGATGAGCCCATAAAGGATGGAAACATAAAGGCTAGAACGTTCTCATTCGATGTGACCAAAGCTGACCTTATATTCGATAAATTATATAAGGATAAGCAAATAAAGCTAAGCGATAAGCACAAATTGCCAAACCCTGAACAAATAAAGGGTAAAAAATATTGTGAGTGGCATAATGCATGGTCACATTTGACTAACAATTGCTTGATTTTCCGTCACGTATTGCAGGATGCTATTGAATCAGGACGAATTATGTTCGATGATAAGAAAAAGATGGCAGTGGACGATAATCCTTTCCCACAGCCACTTAGGGTAAACATGGTAACGTCTGGATTTAAGAACAAGTTGTCAAAATTCAAATTGGTCATAGATGATGGAGAAGAGGATACTAAAACACATCCCAGTGTCTTCGAACGGATCAAAGGGAAAGAACCAAAAAAGGACGAAAACGTCCTGTGTGCAAGGTGTAAAAGGGAAGTAAATAGAGACACGGAGAAACCAGGGACATGGCAGCATCCTCATCGCCCTGCCTTCTTCCCAAACATTCAGCCTGGTAGAGGGCGAGGTACATCATTCTATAGAGGACCGCCTTTTGAAAGGCAGTTCAGACCAGCAGATACTGGAAGAACATTTAGGTCGCAACCTCGTCGGTCAAATGTATGGCATTCATTCTAGTACAGCGCAGGAAGGGCAATATCCTTCGATGAGATGACTAGGACCCAACAAAGGCGTTTCCAGCGAAACTACGGACGGATGATGAGGCAACAACAAGGAATGCCACATCCTAAAGCGCCTCTACTACTCAAGGTAGCCAATCAAAACGTCCTCAAAGGTAGTAAAGAGATTGGTACAGATGAATCAACGAAGGAACTGCCAGAAACTTCTTCTGGGAGATCAAGGTTTGAGAGGGACAAAAGGGATGAAGAAGATCCAGATCAGCCCCTTGCTATCCAATTCGGTACGTTGCCTCCTGTCGTGGCCAATAATTACCTACTGGCCAATGAATTCAAGAATAAGGAAAAGGAAGAAGAGAGGGAGGACAACGAAGGAGAAGCCTGCATGCTGGTATGTGAAGAAGGCCAGACTTCTGGAGAGGCCTACAACGATGAAGAGGACGATGGGATGACAGACATTGAAGAAGAAATCGACCTAGAAACAGAAAGGAAAAAGAGAGGAGTATCGCGCAATACTCTGTTTAAGCAACTACATCAAGAGGGAGTTCGCGAAGTAGACTTGTTGGGAGAGCCATCTGGGCGTCCTTTCGATTTCTACGTACTGTACGGGACACCCAAAAGGAAGAAGAGAGTGCCTCGCTCTGAGAAGTATGGGTCACCTCCAAGAATAATGCCCCCTCCCACAGGTTGGATAACTGATGAGGAAGCATTAGAAAAAAGTAAGAAGGAAATTCAGGAGACAGAGGATTAGCGTGACATACTGCACGTCGACCTATTACAAGGGGATAATTCGACAGAAAACAATCAAGAGGTAGAAATAGAGGCTGTCGAAAAGGTTGTTTTTAAACGGCCAGCCATGAAATTGACAAAACACCTGAGGCCATTATACGTTAAAGCTCTAGTTAACGGCGTCCTAGTGGCAAAAGTGCTTGTCGACAATGGAGCAGCTATAAACACCATTCCATCCAGGATGATGAGAAAGTTCGCAAAGACAGAGGGTGATATAATTCCTACAGAAGTCATCCTCACTAGCTTCAATGGAGGAGCAACTTCAGCTAAGGGAGTTATGCCATTAGACATAACTATAGGTACGACTACTAGGACCACTGTCTTCTTTGTAATAGATGGTCCTACTAGTTACAACGTGCTCTTAGGAAGAGATTGGATACATGAAAGTCGCTATATACCCTCGTCGCTCCATCAATGCCTGATTTTTTGGAATGACAAAGGTGAAACAGAGGTGGTACAGGCCGATCATAGGCCTTTTGTCGCGGAAGCAAACTCGGTGGAAAAGTTCATGTACGAAGGAAACTATGGACCTGTCAGAGTAGTACAAGACGGGGAAGAAACTCAAGTTGTCGTGCAAAACGAAGAACCATTTTCAGTGGACGCACTCACTGAGATGTTCAAACAGATGAGGCCAAATATAGTGGCCCTGGAAGAGCCAGTGATTGGCAAAAGAATAATCAAGGAATCTTGAATGGATTCTGAGTTACAAAAGCAAATGGCCGATATTTAGGCCTTCAAAGTCAGACTGATGGCTTTCAATAAGGAATGCAATGACAAAGCGAAGGAAGAGACTACCCTAAAAGCGCTGAAGGACAAGTTGGCAGTATTCGAGTTAGAGCAAAGCATTGGCCGAGAAGTCAACAAGGTGGATTGTTTGGAAGAGGAAGTACTTACAAAAGAACTGGACGACGAAGTGATGCGGATTGCCAAACCTGGATACGCTCAAGCGCAAGACCCTCTGATCAAAGTAAATATTGGCGATGAAGGAGAAGATCACCTAACGTTCATCAACCAGGTGCTCGACCAA